TCCCCCGTGTGCCCGGCGCTGTGACAGAGAATACCTGCTTAACAGGCTTCCTACTATTGAGTCTTCAATTCCGGCTTTTCACGGCATCACCGGCTTGCGGCGGCTGCGAGGTCCCCAGCGGGATCGCTCAAACCTCTCGCCGTGTCCTCGCGGGTTCGTCCCGCGTCACACCAGGGAAACACAAGCACAGGGGAAGAGGCGGCGGAGACGTCGGTGCTCCCTGAGGAGCTGGTCCAGACGGGAATACTGAGGGATGCTCAGGTCTACAAAGTGACCTTGGCAGGCCAGGAGGGACGAACCCTGGCGTGTGCGTGAGAGTTCCCCGCCCGGCTCAGCCTTGCCGGGGAAATGCCAAGGAATGACCCCAGACAGGGCTGGGGAAACCAGTGGAGACGGCTCTGCTCAGCGAGGGAGGGCGACGGCTGGGCAATTCGGCAGCAGAGCACCGAGGAATAAATCTGGAACCTGAGCAGAGGGAGATCAGCAATGACACAAAGGTTGAGAGTTCAGACCCTGGGGAACCAAGTCAACCTCTGTTAGATAAAGCTACAAAAGCCTTAAGCTCAGTGTTGCTGAGAAATGAGTCGTCAGCAATGATTAAACCCCAGAGAAGTCATAAAAACCAGCAGATAGTAATAAAATGGGGTGCTGATACGGCGAAGCTCGGCAGCGCGCGAGCAGATGAGGGTCACCCAAGCCACGGCGAGCTGCGGAGCCCGAGCGGTGGGAGGTGGGCTGACGGGACACAGAGCTTCAGAGCTGGGCTCACCCTCTGGAGCATCCCTGGGGGTTGCTGGCACAGCCAGGATCCAGGAAAGAGCCTCCTTCCCCAGCACAACATCACACTCGAGAACCTCGGGTGAATCCAAGCTCCTCTCTGAGCCCCCGAGCCCCCCTCTCGAGGCGGACGAGCAGCCCTGGGAGGGGAGTGAGTCGCCTTCTGAAGCGGAACTGCTGACTGAGGAGCAGGGCACCAAGAGCCAGGGGCGTGGAACGGAGACGCAAGGGAGCCCGGCCGGGGTGAGGGATGTGGCCGGGGGGGGGGACTGGGCTTCCCTGCCATGCCAGCAGGTCTTCCCATCGTGGCTGCTGAAATAGCACCAACCCAGTGATGGAGGAGGCAGATTGGGCGTTCGGCCCAGCAGCAAAGCTGAGCTAATCTACTTCAGTCAGAGAAAAACAGAGAGGATCATTCTGATACAAAGCGCTGGCTGAAGCCGTGCACTTGATCAGCAACGGCAAGATTAGATAAAGACTGAACTTAGTCCCATCCCGCATGTATTAATGCGAGCACTCCGGGTGTCTGGGCCGTTCCACCTCCAGGCCATGGCGACGTTCGCTTCACTGGGGTTCCTGCTTGCTGCCCTCTCTTTAGCGAGCTGCGTCCCTGTGCCGCAGGCATCCACCCGCAGCAAGCTCCTCCTCGTGTCCTTCGACGGCTTTCGGTGGGACTACGACCAGGACGTGGACACCCCCAACCTGGACGCGATGGCTGCGGAGGGGGTGAAGGCGCGGTACATGACTCCTGCCTTCATCACCATCACCAGCCCGTGCCACTTCACGCTGCTGACCGGTGAGTGCCCGTCGGCTACACGCCGGGTGAGCAGCACAGGGGGCAGCTGGGGGAGGGCACATCGGCATCAGTGAAGGACACCAGTGTTAGCCGTATTTCGGAACAGGGTAGTCAGATTTCGGCAACGCAGCAGGAGACAAGGCAATAGCTGCAGAGAGCGACAGCACTGAACCGGTGCTTATCGAAGGCAAACAGCACCAGACGTCACTAGAATCTCGCGGCTGCCACCTCGATCGTGGCAGGGACCACGCGGAGGCCACCCCAGCAGGGCTCATCCCTGAGATTCGCCCTAACAACAGATCAGGTCAACTGGTTTGTGTCCACGTATCCCAAACACACGAGCTGCAGCTCGAGCTGGTGCCTGCCAGCTGTTACCGCATCGACCGGCCCCCCCCGGTCCCCCGATTCCCC